CACCTTTATTTTATTTGCATATCTGTTCAATTAGAAATTACCTTAGGTTATTATGTAATTTATCCATGCCTGCTATTTATTCACTCACCCTTGTAGGTGATGGAATATGATTAAAAAATAGATACAATATATTTTTATTATTTTGACATTTCAGAAAATGTAGTAGTTTAAAATTATCCTGTATTTTTTCCATTTTACAAAGAGATTATGATACTTGGAGCCATTATATAAAATGCAATGTGAGGTTTGCAATATACTGTGATTATTTCTTCTTCTGTACTTTCTTTGTAAATGACTCAGATATGCTACCGTAAGGTGCTTTTAGAACCTTGTAAGTGGAGTGAATTATCTGATTTTTAAAACAGGTTTAACAGAGAAACCTGAATTTTCTACTTTCCACACTTGGTCTGGTGAGTGTGTATTTATAGATGGACACACACAATATTCTCACATATCGGAGACATGACAAATAGGAATGTCATAGATGGTCTCTCTTTTTACAGGTAGTGGGATTCAGGTCTATAAATCCTGAAAATTCACGTGGAGAACAATGATCTTCTGTGGTTTCACTGTACCTGCCTACTTTATAGAATTATTTACAGTAGCAATGTTTAAACATTAATTGAATTTTTCACATCTTTACAGAGTTATAACTCCCTACTATTAACAATCACATATTGAGATATGCCTAGATGTTCTAAAGGAAATGTGCTAAGAAATTTAAGTATGCTCAATAGATATATATTTCTGTTTATTTTTGAGCAGTTACAGGCAGTTCTGGGTAACCTCTAAAACTATCAACTGAAAATTGCTCTGGGTCACTGGGTTTATCTCCTAAAACACCAGTCCTTCAGCCAAAACATTGAAATAAACACTATTCTATCTCCAGGTATATTTAAATAAATATTTGTATTTGTAACCCTTCTGTTTGTGATCTCTATGGTGTTTATGTATCTGAGTAAAGAATACAGAGACTGACAAAAATTATAGGTCTTTAGCAGTGTCAAAGATCAGTGAAGAACATGCTTGATTCCAGAAAGATTTAGCCCTAGATTTGAGTTTTGATACTCCTAATATATTATATGTAAAACTCAAATTACTTGTAAAATAATAAATGCAAATTTCACAAGCTGTAGTCTGAGTATGTAGCAGAAACATGTATGGAGATATTGGCATGATAGCTGGCACTTAAAAGAACCTTAGTAAATAGCAGCTTTATTATTATTGGTGAAATCATTTAGATTTCTGGCTTCTCTCTCTGTGTGCAAACAGTTGAATGAATGGTAAAAATCACTGTTTATCTCTTCTGTAAAATTTTGATTAATGCAAAAGAGAATTCTGAGGCTAGTCTTAAACTGATACATTCGTGCTATGAATTTGTTTTCTGTGTTGAGGGGTACCTCAGGATAAAACATGGGCTTAGGACCCCAAAGACCCCATCTTAAAATGATGTATTTGTGCTATGAACTTGTTTTTCTGTGTCGAGGGGTACCTCAGTATAAAACATGGGCTTAGGACTCTATAAGCTTGCTGCTCAAGATAGCCCAGCAAGGTGGTCAGTATCAAACTTTCCTGCAGGTCTGAAACAAGCAAACAAAAAAATTGGATGTAGTCTCCATCTCCATCTTGTTTTATGTCCTTGGGATCTTGACTTTGCAACCACATGGCAGTACTTTCTCTTAGTCTCTGCCTTTCAGAGAACAGGAATTTTAGGTTTATGTTAATAGCTCTAAAAATTGCCTTGACTACTAAAAGCCTCTGAAAGCTCAAAATTAACTAGTCTAGACTCCTCTTGGGAAAAGAAATGGAAATTTCCCTGTGCTATAGCTCAGTAGCTAAGGTTTTGGCCTTTCACACTGGTGGTCTGGGTTCATTTCTATGCTTATGAAGTAAGCCTTTTCTGTTTTAATATATGCATTAACTTGTCTAGAGTCTTATCCTCCATGGACTATTTTAAATTTTCCTTTCTCTGAACACCTGGGGGGTTACCTTTGGTAACATTTAAAGGCCAGAATAATTGGCCATTTGGCCTGGCTAAAATTGGGTAATAAAGAAACTTAAAAGGACTTTATTAAAGAGAACTATGGTTAAAAGTCAGCTTAATTAAAAGTGGATATTCAACCTTTAACAACCTATACTCCTTGGGAAAAACAAGAGACACCAGAGAAGACCCCTTTTCTACCCTATTCTTCTGAAAACTCCACCCTAAAGTCAATCACCAATGAATAAATTTAAAAATTGGCAAATGAAAACTCTTAAGAACTACTGTAGTACTCTTCCTCTGTCTGTCTGTGTAATTACATATGTGTTGTATGTAATGTTTCTATAGAAGAGTTCTAATTAATTGACATAAAAATACATACTTAAATCAAATATTTTGAAAGCAAAATAAAAACTGTAATGCCTTTTAGTATATGCAACTTTAGTAATCTTTGGGAAATGAAAACAGTTTGAAAGATTATTGATAAAATAAAGACATTTTGACTAAATTAGGCAAGTCAGATACTAGGTTTGCTAAATGCTTTAAGATCATAAACTGCTTTGACTTTTGAAAATTATTCAATTTATTTTGAAGACATTAAATTCTAAATAAGGCCTGGGGATATATGGAATTAGCTGTGACCCCCAGCTATGCAAAGAAGGTTATAGAGAAAATAGATTTTATATAAGAAATGAGGTTGCATGGTAAATTCTTGTCCTGAAGTAAAATGACTGGTTGTATAAAAAGAGGAATATTTAGGATAAGTGAGAAAGTCTAAACATGTTAATACATGGTCTATGTAAGTTGTGAAAGAATTTATTAAAACAAATACATGCCCAAAATGTAAAATTTAAAGGCGATTGGACTTCCTAAATGCTTCACAAAATGCTATTATGACTCTTAACTGTATAGCTTCCCTGCTTTACAGCTAGGTAAGGCCTGGGACACATGGAGTTAGATGCTGGAAAGACTCAGGCCTTATCTGCATTTCTGTCTGGGTCCAAGGCTCCACATCTAGTACATAGTTAAAATTCCTTACTGACCCAGGCTTTCACCAAAAGTAAAAGTCACTTAGAGTTAACATTTTAATATGTAATTGAGACCACTGAAAAAATAAGTTTACAACAGTATTTTTAAGGAGAATAAAATGTGTTTTTGTAAGAGATTATAAAAAAGTATAGGAATGTAAATTTTTGACTAGGTTAGAGGGTTGAAGGATTGCTTACATAAAGCTAAAGGATTTGAATAAGTTGTGAAAAGTTTATAGAAATTAATTTTAAGAGATTCTATGTGTGAAAATAGTGGCTAAAATTAAGATGGCATTATTCAGGTTTTGTTTTCCATAAATTGGACATTGGAATAGAAACACAACAGAGTTTTCTTAGCTCATTGTTCTGCTCTGAGGGAAAAATAATGTAAAGGAATGTAAAAGATTTATAAAAATCTTACATTATGGTCAAAATAATTAAAACTGAATAGATTTATTAAATGTTATTAACAACTAACTTAAAAATATATTAATGAAAACATAAAATTTGTATTTCTCTTTTCAAAAGGATTTTTATGTAATATTAAAAGATAATTAAATGTTTTTGTTTGCCTTCTAAGGAAATTACAAAAGAGAAAAGAGGTGGTAAGAAAGAAGGGAGACAGAGTCAGTCGCCCTCATGTTGTCTTCATTGGGTCTTGTTTGGAAAGCTGAGTCTCCTCTATATCAGAATAATGTTTTTTCCTTCAAAAATCTTTGAGTTATCATTTGAGCTAAATGAATGAATTATGTAACATAAGATTCTATTTTGTAATATCCAACATTTTAAACTTTTGGTATTGAACAAACCTTTCAAAATCAAGTTCTGCATTATCATGCTAAATCAGCCAACACTAAAATTGTTTAAATATACAATTTAAATGAACTCCATGGTCTAAGTCAAATGATTTATGATACCCCATTAGTTATCAGTGCTATGCACCTATATTGGATAAACAACTGGTATTTAAGAAGACATAAGTTCAATGGTAATCATGAACTCATGAAGAACCAGCAATCCCATTACTGGGTATTTACCCAAAGGAATATAAATTATTCTACTATAAAGACACATGCATATGTATGTTTATTGCAGTACTGTTTATAGTAGGAAAGACATGGAACCAACCCAAATACCCATCAATGATAGACCGTATAAAAAATAATGTACACAATGGTGTACTATGTAGCCATAAAAAGAAATGAGATCATGTCTTGCAGGGACATGGAAGCTGGAAGCCATTATCCTCAGCTAACTAACACAGGAACAGAAAACCAAACAAGGCATGTTCTCACTCATAAGTGGGAGTTGAACAATGAGAACACATGGGCACAGGGAAAAGAGCAACACACAATGGAACTTGTTGTGGGGTGGGGGATGAGGGGAGGGAGAGCAACCAGGACAAACAGCTAATGCATCAGTTCAGCAAATGTGCTGGCTGAATGTGAGGGTAATCAGTGAGGGATCATGCTTGAGTGATCACATAAAAATATTCAGTCAAATCAGTAAGGTATTGTAAAGTGAAGGATAATCTAACTTGTAAGGGATATTGAAACCAAAATCTTTCAACCAAGCATCTTGCTATTTTTCTCCCAGTTCAGCTACAGAAGAAAACCTTACCTGGTACTTGCAATATTATATGCAATAATAATAATGGTACATGTCTCTCAAGATAACCTAAAATTCTCAATATTGTAGTGAAATAAGATAAAGTTGTAATTTCAAGGTGCTTTCTTCTTTATTTCTATTTAGTGTTGAAACATCTCATGGGTAAAGAGAGTAGATTATTCTTATCTCTCTTTTACAGTTCAACAATAAAACGGACGTTTATAAAGTGCTTATCATTTGTAAGCCAAAGCAATAAAAAAAACATATTTTCAAGGAAAATAAACCCCACAGGACAAAGACTTCTACATATGCTAGCATTTTACAACATTTGATTCAAAATATCCTGACTCTGTATGTAGCATTTCTTTTAGTACCAACGGATTTTACTGTTGATTACTAGAATACATCTTTTTAATAATCTTTTTCATAGCATTTTTTACCTCTTGATTCCTCAAGCTATAGATCAATGGATTTAGCATGGGAATCACCACTGCATAGAATACTGAGGCAAATTTGTCTTTATCTAGTGCATGGCTTGACTTAGGCTGTAGGTACATAAAACTGAGGGTCCCATAATATATGGAAATAGAAAACACATGAGAAGCGCAGGTAGAAAAGGCTTTCTGTCTTCCTGCAGCAGAGTGAATCCTTAGGATAGCAAAGACAATAAAAACATAGGAGATGAGAACAACAATAAGAGAACAAAAGACATTGAGCCCAGCAATAACGAGCAACATCAATTCCTTGACTTGTGTATCTGAACAAGCCAGAGCAATCAGAGGAACATCATCACAGTAGAACTGGTTAACCACATTAGAGTCACAAAAAGACATGTGGAATGTGGCCATTGCTTGTATGAGTCCCACAGTGAATCCATAAATATATGAGCTAGTGACCATTTGAATGCAGAGCCTCCTAGGCATGAGAACTACATAGAGTAAAGGGTTGCAGATGGCAACATACCGATCATATGCCATGACAGAGAGCAACAATAATTCCCAAACTGAAAATGTGATAAAGCAACACACTTGACTGGCACATGCATAAAATGACACGCTTTTAATTTCACGCAAAGAGTTGACAAGGGTGTTTGGAGTGATAGCAGAGGTACCATAAAAATCCACAAAAGCCAGATGGCTAAGGAAAAAATACATTGGTGTGTGAAGCTGAGGACTGATTTGGATTAGCACAATTAAAGCAAGATTACCCATAACAGTAACTAAGTAAATCAGTAGGAATACACCAAAGAGAATGACTTGAAGTTTCGGATTATCTGTGAGCCCTAGGAGGATGAAGTCAGTCACCGATGAATGATTGCCTTTTGCCATGTAATGGATACAGGATTCTTCTAAAATAAACTCCAGAGCACACCTTCTGAATAATCTTGATGCTGTAAGAAATGATCAATTAAATGTAGCCATGACTTACCACAATATTATATTAAATTTAATTAAAGTTCTGATAAGTACTCTGAGTTATACATAAATTTTCCTTATGCTTTCAGAGTCACATAATTTGGTTCAGACTAAATTCTAAGATACGTAATTCATTAAGGAGTTTAAAATAAAATAATTTTAAAGAAAATACTGTAATTTATACAACAGCAAAATCTATGTTGCACTTTTCTTGAAAAACCAAACAAACAAAAAAAAAAACGCACACATTGCAATGCTAAGAATGTAATAGTGACAATATATGTAAAATTATTTCTTAAATTATATGCTTATTTTATGAAATTATACACAGATGTATTTGTTCACAAGGATATCACAAATTAACAAAATTAAATGAGGACAATCTAACATAAAGAGTCAAAATCAAAATATTAACACTATTTATGTTTTTGGACATCCAGGTTAGAGAAATTTTAAAATTTTATTTTTTTCCTTATCTCTGTTTTTTCTTTAATTGATATTTAATATTAATATTAAACAATAACAGGATTTTTAAATATTCTGGCTTTGTCTTTCTGGAAGAGTACACACCCATGAACAATTTTACAGATTATAAACAGCGTTAGCTGACTGAAAAACATGATTTAACTTCTATCTTTAGATATCTAAATGGTCCAAAGTGTATAGCATTTGGACAGTGTTTTGAAGAGGTCAATTCTACAGGCCGTTTTCTCAAACCCAAACTGGTCTCTGACTGCTTGAAAATCGGCAGAATTAAATTGCTCCCTGCATTTCTCAAGCAGAGCACAGGATAAGTTAACTTGATTCTCCTTCATAATTATATTGTTTCAGGTTGCTTTACATGTATCTTGCAGATCTTTGAGGCAGGTAAAACACTCTTTTCTGTCACTTTCACTTCTCAGTCAAACATCTTAGCGCAGGCCTCCACTTTACCAATCATATTCATAACTTAACCGAATGTAATTTGCCTTCCTTTCGCAGTAAACCAAAACATCTCCTCACCAACTTCACTATTGACCTCACTATCCCCAAATCCAATCCAGCCTAGTTTTCTTTGGCAGAGTAGCAGACTGGATTCTGTTAATACACCTTAGGTTTCCAAAACAGAGTAGTCTCTAGGTTGTTTATTTTGATTTTGTGCCTTGGAGGCTCTGCTTCTATTATATATGCTTCAGGTGACATGTACGTCAGATTCTAAACCCTGTGCTCTCTTCTTTACACTTTTCTTGTTCAGTGATTTTATTCAAGTCTATGTCGCCAGTAAGCGTCTATATTCTGGCTATGCACACATATATATTTCTATTTCAGATTTATTTTCTCTATTGGCATCTCTGCATGTTAAGCCTAATATTCAAGACTTTCTCTAAGTTAATAGTGACATTATTCACTCAGTTTTTCAAATCAGGGACCAATCATTTTTTACTATGCATTCCTGTTCCTTATGCCAATATTTTGTTGTTTCCAGGTACTAACAATGTTATATCTAACATGCTTTTAAAATCTGTTAACTTACATTTTTCTCTTGATGCAACAATAATTAGTTTTTTTGCTTTATTGTAACTGACAACTGACTCATATTCTTGCCCTCAGTCTTTCCTCCTTCCCTCGCTTCCTTACATCGCAGCTGAAATAAACTCTTTACAGATACAAACTTTATTCCAATATTCTCCTGGTTAAATCTCTTAATGACTTCTCCATTGCCCTTAAGATAAGTCCTAGGCTTCTTTCCTTTTTACTCTCTCTCTCTTTTTTTTAACATGGTTAATATAGCTCTTGGAAACCTAGGCCCTGACCAGACACGGTGGCTCACACCTGTAATCCCAGCACTCTGGGAGGCTGAGGTGGGCAGACAACGAGGTCAAGAGATCGAGACCATCTGGCCAACATGGTGAAACCCCATCTCTACTAAAAAAGAATACAAAAATTAGCTGGGCATGTTGGTGCACACCTGTAGTCTCAGCTACTTGGGAGGCTGAGGCAGAGAAATGCTAGAACCTGGGAGGTGGAAGTTGTAGTGAGCCAAGATCAAGCCACTGTACTTCAGCCTGGTGACAGAATGAGAGAAAGAATGAAAGAAAGAGAGAGAGAGAGAGAGAGAGGAAGGAAGGAAGACAGGAAAGAAGGAAGGAAGGGAGGGAGGGAGAGAGGGAGGGAGGAAGGAAGGAAGGAAGGAAGGAAGGAAGGAAGGAAGGAAGGAAGACAAGAAGGAAGGAAGGGAGGGAGGGAGGAAGGAAGGAAGGAAGAAAAGAGAAAACCTAGGCCATGAGTCTCAGACTAGACTCATCTCTTGCAGCATTCCGCATGTGGCCTTCACATTCCAGATATAATCAACTATCGCAGTTATTCAAACATGATCTACATATCTATATGGGTTTCCTTCTGTGCCCAGAACACTTTTCTTCTGCTATTATTACCTATCCCTGATTTTTCTTCTACTTGACTTTAAATTATTCTGTTAAATAGTTTCCTCCTAGAGGGTTTCATGACCTTCCAGGCCAAAATTGGTGCTTCTCATATACACTATTCTGCATCCACTGATTGCTTTAAGCACTTACCACACTATATTGCAACAAACTGTTGACATTTCTGTAACACACCCTAAACTTGAAACTCTTCTTTTCAAGCAAATTTTAATTACTAAATTATACCCATTTTAAGTACTTACCTCTGGTAGTATCTAGTATAAACAAATCATCAATAATTATCTGTTAAGTGATTAAGTGAATAGAAGTAGTAGTCATATAAGTTTGATGCCTTTTTTGTTTTTTGTTTTTTCTACCTAATGCCTTTCTATATTCAAAACGTTGTCTTTCAGTTCAACAACAAATCTCCAAATAGTACATTGCACCTGAAAGCAAACTTTGTGAAGCCAGTAACATTTAAAATTACCTGGACGTGAGACAGCTTTGTATTATTTCTTTTTTATGGTCCCTCTGGAAACTTTGTATTTATTGTTACTTTTTTAAAACAAACATTGCAAAACAACATAATTATTATTCAGTAACAGGCAATTATTTGATGTTTAGTGTTTGGGGACAAAACTATTTCCCTTGAAATGGTAGAGTACTCTTTCAGCTATTAGTCAATAAATGAGTAGGGAGTAGAGGAATATTTTAATGATCTCTTTTGGGAAAACAATTTAATTAATGGCTATATCTGCTTTAATTATTTCCTACACTTGCTTTAATTTTGTTACATCGACTTTTTATTACAATTATTTAAAATAAATGTTGAGCTTGTGGGCCTCATATATAGCAGCAGATTTTATAAAGTTTTAGGGGAAAGATAACTTTTCCAGTTAATAACACTTAAATCTGCCTTCTGAGATTAATATCACAAAGTGTTGTTATAATTGGCATTGTAGTTCAACAGCAAGGATTAATTTAAAAAAAAATTTATTGTCCTCCCTAGGAGAGGAATGCATACAAACCACAGATTAATTGTCACCTAGCATTGTCATTCAACAGAAATAGATGAACTCCTTCATCCAGAAGAATGTTTGCTAGTAATAGCTGAAGCTTGTTCTAGAAATTCTCTAAGATGGCTCCTTAAAGTCTATATTGAAAGATGCCAGACATTATATGAAACAGATAACTAGAAATACTCTCACATAGTAATGAAGACACACACAGGAAGAAAATTGAGAAATGTAGGAGTGTGATGATGGCTTTTTTATATAGAAATAAAAACTTCTTACCTGACTATATTTTTAGGAAGTCACAGGAGACACTGTCTTTGCTCGGGCAATAAGGAACGCACTAGCATAGAGGGAACTGGTACAGTTTTCAGGGACTCAGTAGTGGCTGTGCCTCCACTTTGGCCTGTGTGAATGGAGTGGCCCTGCAGACCTGTGCTCTCTAATAACACTAGGGATGTTGTCATTCTGAAATGGCGATAACAAGGTGGATGCAATACTGGCATTGGGTTATAATACTTTGTTAGGCTGTAACTGAGGTACTTAACCCAGTTTCTATGGTAATGGTTTATGGATCACAGTGTTCTTGGGTTTAGATGAATGGGCAGTTGATGTTTAATAATTGTATATAATTCATAGTATTTTAAAATATTTTTTCCATTTGTGTATTTAGACAAAATACAGAGCTAGTGAGAAAAAAAAAAAACTAATAACACCAGTCACAATGAACATTTTTTTCCTTAGGATTTTTTCATAATTAAGTCCAAACATAGACTAAAGAGAACACATGGACACAGGCAGAGAACCATCATACACTGGGGCCTGTTGAGGAGTGGGGAGATAGGGGAGGGATAGCAGGGGGTGGGTTTTAGGGGAGGGATAGCATTAGGAGAAATACCTAATGTAGATGACAGGGTGATTGATGCAATCAACCACCATGGCACATGTATACCTATGTAACAAACCTGCACGTTCTGCACATGTACCTCAGAACTTATAATAATAAAACTCTTTTATTGAAATGAGAACTGAATTTCCTTGAAGCAGGATCTTCCTAAACTACAGCATGTTAATGCAATAGCTCCTTTTCAGATTTTTTCCAAAGGAATATACAAAGTGCTTTGGATACGAACATACGAGAATATCAGAGACTTAATATGTCATAATTGGGAATGCTGCTCTAGCTCATTTTTCAGGCACAGTAGATTAATTAGTTGAATTAACAGCCCCAGTTTAAGGCTTCTCTGTAATCATGCTCTTTTTCTGTAAATGTGTAGTACTTCTGTATCCTGCCTATGACCTCAGTCCTGTGACTTGTTTTTAGCTGATGTTTTGATAGCAGACTTGACACAAATGTAGGCCTAAGAAAGGTGTAGTGTATTTCAACTTCCTGTCTTGCTCTTCTGCCTTTGTGAGGACCACAGATGCCTGCTAACCTGTTGGCAGATGAGAAGTCATGTGGTGCTAAAGCAGTTTTCACAGGTGGGGACATCTTAGG